CCAGCATCAGCCAGTTGTTATTAGAACACTGCTTTGTAACAGTGAGGTTGTTGCTTAATAGCCTGGTTTGGAGAGGAGTCCTGGAGGAATCTCTCAGTTGAGGAACTCAAGGTTACTAAATGGCATCCATTTCTTATTTAAATAAAATCTGTCCCAGGCTGAACAGAGGCAGAAATATGGGGAAAGGAATCCCCTCACTTCATGAATGATGAAATTCCCTCTGACCCCTGGCAATGTGGGGAGGATGGACAGTTGAGGAGATTTGGTGAAGCAGTAAGTAAAACATTTGGCTGCTAACCAAAAAGTCAGCATTTGAACCCACCAGCTGCTCCAGGGGAGAAAGATGAGGCAGCCTGCTTCCATAAAGATCAACAGCCTTGGAAACCCTATGGGGCAGTTCTACTTTGCCCTATAGGGTCTCTATGAATTAGAATCGACTCAGTGGCAGTGGGTTTGGTTTGGGTTGGAGGGCTGGAAGATTCATGTAACTGTTAAGTATGTTTAGTAACTATCTTGTGGTTTTAAGGGAGTGTTTCAGCAGCGTCTCACTTGTATTCAGTATGGGTGATTCACGTGGAAGAGAATGGGTAAAGACAGCACAAATTAGTCTGGGCCCCCTTGAAGCCATGTGGGATTGGATGAGGACAGCCACACCTGCTAATGCCTCACAGGACACCTCTCCCCATTCGTCTTGCCTTAAACTTGGCTGACACTTACTCACCTGACTTTCTGATAGGAAGGAAGAGGAATTTCTCCATGGGAAGAAAAACAGGAATGAAGAGGAAGGTAAGAGGCTGAAAACAGAGGTGGCCTAAGACTTAGGCAATACAAACTCAAACCCAGTGTACATGCTGTCAGTGACAGTCTCCATAGATAGCACACTGAATGGGGCAGTCAGTCTAAGGTCAGGTGAACAGCTATTATTCTGTTCTTGATTGACACTGTCTATATACATGCAAGGTGGTTGGGTGGCACAAACTATTAATTGGCTCCACGACTAGCTGAAAGGTAGGGGTACCTTGAAAGAAGAGAGAACTGATGGTCTGCTTCCAAAAGGTCAAATACAGCTTTGAAAACTCTATGGAACAGTTCTACTCTGCACACATGGGGTTCTATGAGGCAGAATTGATTTGCCAGCAACAACACATGTAAATAGGCTGAAAATAGCTAAAAGAAAAAGGTAAGCTGAATATGTGGACTTGTAACCATAGAAACACCTAGGCCTTAAATATTTGGGTATCATTTTAGGTAGAGTTTAGTGCACATTGTTGCTGTTACGTTACCCTTGACTCAATTCCAACTCATGGTCATCCCAGGTGTTCAGTGTAGAACTGTACTCTAGCATTTTCAGTGCTGTGACCTTTCAGAAGCAGATCACCAGGCCTGCCTTCTGAAGCACCCGGGCGGGTTCGAACCACCAACCTTGTGGGTAGAAGTCAAACACTTCACCATTTGCACCCCCCATTAGCTTTCAAATGAAACTGTTCTTTTCATTCTTTTTTTCCTGGCTGATGTGTTCAGGCAATTGTTCAGGAAATAAACAGAACCTTCAGCAAGACAACTTAGAGTGCATTAAATAAATATAAATTTTATTAAAAACACTCACATAGCGTTATCAGGAATGATATAATAAACAGCTTTCAAATAACCTGCATTCATTACATTACAATACTTACAGTATTTATAACCATCCTCAGATTTTACAGACAAACCAAACATTTCATGAAAATGAAATGAAACTAAGTTAAAAAAAAAAAAAGCATGGAAAAATGCACACAGAAGTTCATTATCTTAGTGTCAAACTTCAGAAGTTTCCTACACAAGTTAACCACTAGTTTTAGAAGTGAACTGTACATCACTGTGCGTCAATCAAGGTGAAAAATTCATTCAAGTAAAGTTGACACCACTCAGAAGCATTTTCAAGTATGGCTATATAGTCAACCTGATATTCCTATATAAGCAAATTGTACATCTGCTTCCCATTCATTCTGAGGCAGGCTTGGTATTTACAATTATAGATCTGTTATTTACAATTTGCAACTCACTTCCTTCTCCCCTGCCTCTACCTAACTTCTCCCCAGCTCCTCCAACTGCACTTCCTGCTCTTTTCGGCCAGCAGTTTGACAAATGACAGTGGAAGATAAGAAACCAAATATTCAACAGGGATGGTAGACTAAAAACCAACAAATGCACATGTTATTGTTGTTAGGCGCCACTGAGTCAATTGACTCATAAAGACCCTTTATACAACACAATGAAACAGTGCCCAGTCCTGCACTATCCCAATTGTTAAGTTTGAGCTCATTAAATGCACATGTAGTAAACACGTATTTTGAGTTCATGATCATGGTATACGTAAACTAAAATCATGTGGTTTGGTGTATGCAGAACAAACATTTTTGAAATGTTTGTATTAAAGCAGACAGCGCAAATTTTTATAAAAAGACAAAAATCATAACGATTTGACCAATAAAGCTGAGAGGTTTCCTTTGATTAAGAACTTATTTGAAATCCTAATAAACAAAACTGTACTTAGAGCACAATGTAATAATACAATATATTGCACACCATACCTCTCAGTGCTTTTCCAGGTTAGGGAAGCCTCATGGATTCTGCACCTGTATTTATTACAGGTTCAAAAAGGCTTTATTTAGAGAGTTGAAAGACTCTAAACAACAGCCATTTGTCAAACTCCTGCCTTATAATTTTCCCTTTATCAACTCAGTGCATTCTATTTTCATGTAATTCTTTTCCTGCTTGAAACAGTCAAAAGATTCCCTAAACTTTTAAAATACTTTTCTTTACAATAAAAAGAACCAACAAATTTACAAAATTCATTTTAGTTACATCAGTACATATACAAGGAAAATAGGAGGGATTCAAAATAAAAGGGTTAAATCCCTGAAAAAGAATATATTTATTAACCTACAACAATTTTACATAAACACAGGTGACATGTTGGCATAAGGAGAACATGAGCTGAAATATCCCTGAATTTTTAGAACAAAAGGTTGAAGTTCAAGTTACACTTGCTAAGAAATCAAGTATTGAAAAAAGGTATGCTTTTTTTTTTTTCAATAATAATAATAATAAAAAAGACTTGGAAAAAAATGATGGTACACAATGCTATAAGCTTTCACTCTCAGTTCAATATCCTATTGCCAAACTAGTGTTGAGGTATATGACAAGTAGGAACATCACTCAAAGCTTTCATGAATTCTTAGCTCACATTATGATATATTTGTAGCAGGCTGAGTAGCACCATCATGATGTGAATTCTGCTTCAAACCCATATATATATATATATATGTATACATATATATATATATATATATATATATATAATTTTTTTACAGTACTAAAATACTAAAGCATTGCATTAAAAAAGTTTAGTTTACAATTTAATTTACTATACAATCCTTTCACTTCTTATTTATACAAATTAATGATTTAAAACCACCACAGCAAACCAGCTGCCTGTTTTTTGTTTTGTTTTGTTTTGTTTCTTTTTAATCAACAGATTCACACAGAACTAACCCTGTTTATTCATCTTATGCAGGCATCAGTCTGCTCAATCTTCTTGGTAAAGAGGACACTTAAGCAAAGAAATGACAACATCACAATGCACAGAATTATCAACACAAAGGCGGACAGACTTGCCATTTGCTTCTTTGAAGAGCATACAGATCCATGAAATAGCAGAGGCTGAAGTGAATTAGCTAGTTGAGTCTGTAGCATGCGGCTAATTAATACCTGCAGTTAATAGAAAATTCTTAAAACTGTACATATTTGAGCAATGAACTTGTCATATAATTTTATATAAAACTGTTTTACAGTATAGCAAGAGAGATGAGCACCAGAAAACATGTATTTTGTGGACTAACGTATCTCCGTGAATCCAGTAAGCTCCATTTTGGATTTAACTGGCTGTATTTAAATGGACACACTGCTCATCAGCAGATGCATGGCTAAAAGCAAAAACATTTTGCAAGCTTTCCTTAAAAAAAATCAACGTTGCATTCTAAACTGAAAGTAAACTTTTTCTTTAACAAACATCTCAGTACCTTAGCATTGTTCAAGTTGTCAAAGCTTAGGTAGACAAAGTGCTTCTAAAACACCATTTAAAATATTTATACATATACATGTGTGTACATATACATATATATATGTACAGCTATACGTTTATAGTCCTACAAGGACGTCACTGGATAAGCAAAATCCAGCAGCCTTTAAAATATCCACATTTTAAAAACTAAGCTTGTGTAAGAATAGGTAATTATGGTAAAAAGTTGAATGAAAGGTACCCTTATTTTTCAAGGGCACTGGAGTACACTGATAGCATCTTGATGATATAAAGGCATTAAATTTTCTACTATTAAAGACACCATTTTCTTAGCACCATTTCTTAGAACATCCAAACAAATTCAGTGTTTTGCTGTCTATTCATTTAGGCTTCCTGTAGCTATCTTGATAAATAAAAGTTAATAGTGAGATTACAGTAAAAACTGCATGTTAAAAAGCCATAATTCCAGTATTTCAGTACATCGTATATTAAGCACCAGATGGTATTTTAAGATTCCTGCCACTGTAATACTACAGTACTTGTTTGTGTTCCATGACTAGGCAAACTTGATATTATTTAAAGTGGTCACAGATGTGTAGAGTTGTAAGGGGGGTGGGGTGGGAAATCACATTTACATATTATCTTATCCAATAATAGAACCAGTGTTTAAAAATGCAAATTGCGAAACACTTTCTTCCCCCACCTTCTTTTTGCATAGAATGCTTTGGTCTTTTTCCTAGATGCCATCTGCGACCACTTAGGAGTCAGTGGAAATTAAGTGCTATGGTAAAATCACCTCTTTTCTGCTGGTTTTTCCCCCACCACATTTATCTTGAATACTATGTCCTTACCCCACTGCCCACATCATGAGAACTATTACATGACTGACAGGTTGGTTGTGGTCTTTTCAAATGAGGTAACCAACAAAAGGGTGACATTATATATATCTGTTGTAAGGCCCTGTGACCCGAGTGAAGGCATATGGAGATGTAGTTACTGTGGAGTCTGTGGTCGCGGACATGGTCCTTTCAGTAAGGGACTTGATGAAGCGCAGGTAAGTGGGTTCTGAAGGTTCATGCGGCTCAGTGGGCTCCCGTTTCACTTTTTTGCCATGGGATTTCTGAGGCACGTAGTCTGGGCCATACTTTTCACACTCTTCTTCTTTCTCACGGGCTTTTTCAGCCATTTTGGCTTCCCAAAGAGCTAAGCCATGTTTGGGCTCATTCAGGCTCTTATGCTGGTAAAAAACAAGTGAGATCCTGGTGGGGTGGTTCCTATTGGGATTCTTTAAAGGGGTTGTGGCATGCAGCTCGCGCTTCGCACACTCGATAAGGATTGACCCATGAGTTGGAGCCACAGCCACTCCCCCAATGTCAGGATCCAGAAAGCTCTGCTCACTGTCTGACCACACCTCATCATTGTCCTCTGCAGCAGACGCCACACCCAGGACTGCTACTGAAGGCGGCTTTTCCTGAATGCCAGCATCGTTTGACTTGTGTAAACCTTCTTGGGCAGAAGCAGCTCTCTCATGGGTAAGCATCTTCAACAATCCATTAGCTGTGTGGGAAAGCATGTCATTCTCTTTGTTTTGGAGATGTAGAGCATGGAGAGAGCTACTGAACATGCCTGGAGCTGCACTATAATTATGGATGATATGAGACGATGGATGATGTTCACCATTTTTATAGTCTATGCTTGGGTTGGTCAAATTGGGTGGTAATCTAGAGGGGGCTTCAATGAAGTGGCCATCCATCTCATGAGTAGAATAAGGAGGAAATGTCCCTACATGGTGTACATTTGGTCGAATAGTACAACTGGTGAAGGCATCTCCGTGCATATTTTGGTTTCCATATCCTAAGTACTTGGAAGAAAAACTCTGACTATTTCCAAACCCTTGCTGGTATAATGTATGGATGGGTGGTAGGTTTAGTTTAGAGAGAGGGTCTTGGTTTGGATATCTATACAAATCCATGGGCTGAGACTGAGGAGAATAGGAACCCAGATATGGGGCACAGTTGTCCATTGATACATTACCATTGCACTGATATGATGGATATTGGTTGTTCTGATTCAAAAGCCCAGGATAGGAGTTCACGGGATTGGAAGAATTAAAATATGATCCTGCAGTTTGGGATGAGGTGGAGTAGAGGTTCATTGGGTTGGCACCTCCATAAATATCTGAAGTGTGTGAAGAACTTGGATAAGGACTGACTGGATTGGGCTGTCTCATATATAGACTGGTGGGTCCAGAAGAAGAGTAAGAGTTGATAGATTCTGACTGAGGGTGATCAGTCAAGGGGTGATGTGGCTGCTGCTGATGCATTCGCTGTGGCTGTTGCTGGGGTTGCTGCGGCTGTTGGGGTTGTGGTGGCTGCTGTGGCTGTTGTGGCTGCTTCTGTGGCTGTTGGAGCTGCTTTTGTGATTGCTGGGGCTGTGACTGGGGCTGCTGGGACTGCTGAATGACTGGTCCTGAAAGTCGTAAAAGTTCTGTGGACAGGGTAAGAGAAAGCAGGGACAAAGAGGCTTGGACCGCTACTAGGATTATGCAATATTTATCAAACAATTACAAAAGCAATGTCAAGGTTCTGACCACTGACAACATTTTTTTTTGTCTGAAGTATTAGAAATGAAAATGGTAAATCCTGTAATGGTATAATCTGGTAAGTGAAGAAAATGTAATAAACTTTCAAAAGCCCTTCCACTCAGAGCATTATGTTCTTCTGGAGCTTCTTTGTCTCTGAGCATATCACACATAACCTCTACCAGAAACTGCCTCCTTCCTCCATGCCATCTCCCCATGTTTCCCTGGTTTACCTAACCTTTCCTCTAGGAATCCTATGACTCACATCTTCTGATGCTTCTCTAATACTGACTGTGAACATGGATCAAATAAAGCAATAATAATACTGTATTGTAATTATCTGGTTTTAGTCCTCTCATCCACCCCACACTACATAGTTCTAAGCACAGGGGCCACATTTTAGTTTTTCATTGCCTAGCACTGAATAAAATTTGTTAAGTAATTAAAATAAAGAAATGTGAGATTTGCTAGAGAAGATTCAGCAATGTTATAAGGCAAAAATAAAAAAGACAAAATGACAAAAGCCCTCTTATATAATCAGCAAACCCTATTCACCAACATGCTTTTCAGAGAGGAAATTTACACAGTTGTTAATGGAATGTTGAAGAAACTTTCGGATTTGTAAGTGAAACTTTAAAAAGTCATACTTTTGTTTCATGATGTCACTTAAAAAAAAAAAAAAAAAGAAGAAGAGTTATATGAGTTAGAAACAAGTAAATAGAGCTAAATTGCTGGTCCTGAGAACTGAAGTGACTGTTATTGGAAGAAACCTATTAGAAAGGACTAGAGACAAAGTTCTATCCCATTATACATTAAGGCTAACCTACAGGAGATAGCAGGAAGTGTAACTTCCTTAGTGTAACTCAACCAATAAACAATTGTTTATTAAACATCTTTAACATATTGTTCTAAATTACCTAGTATCTCTGAGTCTGAACATGAATCAGAAGTCAATATACCCTAAAGATGGTTCGTGCTAAGCAAATTGGTACACTAATTGAAAAGACACATACTTTTCTCTTTTTTAAATGACAAAGCCAATACCATCTTCAAAATTTGGATATGGGCATTAACTTTGTTCTGTGAGCTTTTATGATATTAGTTATAGATATGTTGTTATGTGCCAAGGAGTCGGACCTGGCTCATAGCGACACTTCCTTGGGTCTCTGAGGCAGTATCACTACAGAAGTAGATTGCCCAATCTTCCTTCTGAGGAATGGCTGGTGGGTTTGAACCACTAGCCTTCTGGTTAGCAGTCAAGTGCCTTAGGCACTATGCTACCAGAGCAGCAGCCTAATATTTCCTTTGGAAAGAAAATATCAAATTTGCTATTGATAAATAGTAAGCATTTCATTCTGTTATACATAAAGTCACTGTGAGTTGGAGCTGACTCAATGGCACCTAACAACAACAAAAATATTGATGAGTAATACTGTACTGCTTATTGGCATAACTTATTTGATGGACAAAAGTTTTCTAAGACCACTGCATTTGGCTATCCCTCCTAAACCTCAAACTCAACATGTCTAAAGAAAGTTATCTTATTCTCCTCCTCCCTACTATAAATCTTATTTTCAAACTTCTTACTTCAATAAATCACATCTAGGCTTAAAACTTTGGGGTTCCACTTCAATTGTACTTTTTCTTCATTCTAATGCTTAGTTACCAGATCCTACTGATTTCCATTTTAGAAAACATCATTTCCACATTTTTTGCTACATCTCCATTGTTGCCAGCAAAATTCAGTCTCTTATTATCTCACTCTTGGTTCAATGAGTCTGTCCCCAAACTATTAGTTCTTCTACTTTTAATTTGGCCTATCTACCACTGCCAGATTAAGTCTAATTTTATTGTATCACTTACCTATTATAAAACTTTGTCATCTGTCATAGAATAAAACCCAAACTTCTCCATCAATCAAGCTGGGGTTGATGGTAAAATAACTCATTACTATCTCCTGGAACAAAGCCTGGCCCTTACTACTTTAGAGAAGATTCTGGCATAGAACTAAGACCATTGTTGTTGTTGTTGTCATGTGCCGTCGAGTCGGCCCCGACTCATAGCGACCCCTCCTTGGGTTTCCGAGGCAGTATCACTACGGAAGTAGGATTGCCCAACCTTCCTTCCGGGGAGTGGCTGGTGGGTACCAATACTAAATTCACAAAATGAACAATGTTTCACTATAATACAAGTATCACATAGTGCTTCATATTAACTTTCTACCATTCATCTGTCTGTCTTTCATATGGTGGTGGCTTAAGTGTTGTTATGATCCTGGAAGTGATGCCACCAGTATTTTAAATACCAGCAGGGTCACCCATGGTAGACAGGTTTCAGTGAAGCTTCCAGATTAGGACAGACTAGGAAGAAGAACATGGCCAGGTCCACTTCTAAATAACATTGGTCACTGAGAACCTTATGAACAGCAGGGGAATATTGTCTAATATAATGTCAGAATATGAGCCCTTCAGGTTAGAAGGCACTCAAAATATAACTAGGGAAGAGATGCCTCCTTAAAGTAGAGGTGATCTTAATGATGTGTGAAGTAAAGTTTCTGGGACCTTCATTTGCTGGGTGGCATGACTCAAAATGAAAAGAAACAGCTGCAAACATCCATTAATAACAGGTGAATGTACAGAGTATGAATCTAGGAAAATGAGAAGCTGTTAAAAATGAAATGGAACACACAAAGATTAATATACTAGGTACGCTGTTGTTGTTGTTGTTATGTGCCATCGAGTTGGACCTGACTCATAGTGACCCCTCCTTGGGTTTCCAAGGCAGTATCACTATGGAAGTAGATTGATTGCCCAACCTTCCTTCCGAAGAGTGGCTGGTGGGTTTGAACTGCCAGTCTTCTGGTTAGCAGTCAAGTGCCTTAGGCACTATGCTACCAGAGCTCCTATACTAGGTATAAGTGAACTGAAATGGACTGTGTTGGCCATTTTGAATCAGACAGTCATATGGTCTACTATGCTAGGAATGACAAATTGAAAGGGAATGAGTGGTATTCATGACTAAAAAAATAAAAAAGAACATCTCAAGATCTATACTAAAGCACAATGCTGTCAGTGACAGGATAATATCCATATATCTATAAGGAAGACTAGTGAATATGACTATTATTCAAATTTACACACCAATCACTAAAGCCAAAGATGAAGATGCTGAAGATTTTTACCATCCTCTTCAGTTGAAATTGATCAAACATGCACTCAATATGCATTGATAATTACTGGTGATTGGAGTACAAAAGTTGGAAACAAAGAAGCAGCACTAATAGTGGGAAAATGAGCCTTGATAGAAATGATGCTGGAAATTGCATGACAGAATTTTGCAAAACCAACTACTTGTTCATTGCAAATACCTTTTTTAAACAACTTAAGCAGTGATTATACATGTGTGGACTTCACCAGATGGAATATAGAGGAATCAAATCAACTACATCTTTTGAAAGAGGCAATGGAGAAGCTTAATATCAGTCAGAACAGGACAGAGTCAACTGTGGAACAGACCATTAATTGCTCACATGTAAGTTTAAGATGAAACAGAAGTAAATTAAAACAAGTCCATGAAAGGGAAAATATGACCTTCAGTATATCCCTCTCTTAATACAGAGACCATCTGAAGAATAGATTTGATTCACTGAACACCAGTGACTAAAGACCAGATGAGTTGTATGATGACATCAAACATGAAGAAAGCAAATAGTCATTAAAAAAGGCAGGAAAGGAAGAGAAGAACAAAATAGATGTCAGAAGAGATTGGAACTTGCTCTTGAATGCAGAGTAGGTAAGATTAGTGGAAGAAATGATGAAGTAAAAGACTGAACAGCAGATTTCAAAGAACAGCTTGAGAGGACAAAGTATTACAATGAAATGTGCAATGAATGATCTGGAGTTGGAAAATCAAAGAGGAAGAACACACTTGGCATTTTTCAAGCTGAAGGAATGAAGAAAAAATTCAAGCCTCAAGTTGTGATACTGAAGGATTCTATGGATAAAATACTGAATAATGCAGGAAGCATCAAAAGAAGATGAAAGGAATACAAAAATCACTGCACCAAAAGGAATTAATTGACATTCAGCCATTTCAGGAGGCAGAATATGATCAAGAACCAATGGTACTGCAGGAAGAAGTCTAAGGTACACTGAAGGAACTGGTGAAAAACAAGGCTCTGGGAACTTATGGAATATCCATTGAGATGTTTCACCAAATGTATGCAGCACTGGAGATGCTCAATCATTTATGCCAAGAAATTTGGCAAATAGCTACCTGGCTAATCAACTGGAAGAGATTCACTTTTATGCCCATTCCAAAGAAAGGTGATCCAATAGAATGCAGAAATTATCTAATAATATCATTAATATAATACACAAGTAATGTTTTGCTGAAGATAATTCAAAAACAGTTGTAGCAGTACATTGACAGGTAATGGCCAGAAATTTAAGATTCAGAACAGGGTATGGAATAAGGGATATCATTGATGATGTTAGATGGATCTTGGCTGAAAGCAAATAAAATCAGAAGATGTTTACCTGTGTTTTATGGACTACACAAAGGCATTTGACTATGTAAATCTTAACAAATTATGGATAACATTGCTGTGGTAGTTAAGTCTGTGTGTCAGCTTGGCTGGGCTATGGTCTTAAGTGCCTTAGCAGGTAGATGTAGTTATTCCCCATGATGGAACTGGATATGGTATAATCACCTCCATGGTGGAATCTGCTATGAGCCACTAAGTAGTTGCCTTTGAGGTGTGGCCTGCTTCCAATGTATATGGAGAAACTTTGGGAAAGGTCTCTAGTTTTTGGCACATTTTGGGCTGTGTTGCCTGCTGATCTTGGGATTGTTCCTCTACTTGGACCAGTGGCCTGCCATGTTGCCTGATGATCTTGGGATTGTGCCATTTCATCTGCTGATCTTGGGTGTATCAGCCTCCGCAGTCATCAGCTGCATGAGTTATGAGAAGCCTCTAGCTCCAGTGGGCCTGGAACAAGAGGCAGAGCTGAAGATCAAGGTCAAGGAACCTTCATCCAGTCTATAGAGCCAGCACTCTGAATTTGGACTTTTAGCCTCCTAAACTGTAAAAGAATAAATTCCTGTTTGTTAAAGTCATCCACTTGTGGTATTTCTGTTATAGCAGCACTAGAGAATCAAGACAATTGCAAGGAATGGGAATTCCAGAACACTTAATTGTGTTCATGAGGAGTCTGTACATAGACCAAGAGGCTGTTGTTTGAACAGAACAAGGACATATTTTAAAATCAGGAAGGCTGTGTGCCATGGTGTATCTTTTCACCATACTTATTCAATCTGTGTGCTGAGCAAATGATCTGAGAAGCTGGACTTTATGAAGAAGAATGTGGCATCAGGATTGGAGGAAGGCTCATCAACAACCTGTGATATGCAGATGATACAACCACTTCTTGCTCAAAGTGAAAAAAACTTGAAGCACTTAGATGAAGATCAAAGACTACAACCTTCAGTATGGATTACACCCCAACATAAGGAAAGCAAAAATCCTCACAACTGAACCAATAAGCAACATCATTATAAGCAGAAAAGACTGAAGTTTTCATGGATTTCATTTTACTTTGGATCCATAATCAACATCCATAGACATAGCCATCAAGAAATCAAATGTCTTATTGCATTGGGCAAATCTGCTGCAAAAGGCCTCTTTAAAGTGTTAAAGAGCAAAGATGTCATTCTGCAAACAAAAGTGTGCCTGACAAGCCATGGTATTTTTAATAGCCTCATATGTGAGAGCTGGACAATGAATAAAGGTAGACAGCAGAAAAACTGATGCATTTGAACTATGGTGCTGTCAAAGAACTCTGAATGTACCATGGACTGCCAGAAGCATGAACAAGTTTGTCTTAGAGGAAGTACAGTTGGGATGTTCCTTAAAAGTGAGAATGGCCACACTTCATCTCTCATACTTTGGTCATATTGTCAGAAGGGACCAGTCCCTTGAGAAGGATATCATGCTGGGTAAAATAGAGGGTCAGCAAAAACGGGGAAGACCCTGAATGAGATGGACTGCCACAGTGGCTTGACAATAGGCTCAAGCATGTCAATGATTCTGACTGGGCAGTATTTTCTTCTGTTTTATGCAGGGTTGCTATGAGTTGAATCCAACTCAGTGGCACCTGATAACAATCACATTAAATTTACCTGTCAACTGTTTAGCCTGGTTCACATTTTCAGTCTGCTTTGTACGTGAAGAGGCTGATTTTTCCTTTTCATTCTTATTGGAGCTGTTCTCCTGAGATGAAAGCTTCTCAGCTGCAGCTTTCTTGGCTTCTAGTTTCCTTTGCCGGCACGTCTTGACTGGCTCTGCTAACATTCTTACTTTCCGCCGAAAAGAGCTCAGTACCTGAATGGCACCATTTCGTTTTTTCTCCTCCTGAGCTTCTACACTCCCAAACTCATCCATGTCAGAGACTTTGTATAGAGGCAGAACATGGAGCTGCTCATCCTCAGGTTTTCCACCAATTTCCCGATTGTCTTCTCTAGTAAGGGTGCATACCTGGTAGGGAAATAAGATAACACAATTTCCGTTTCAGGTCCAAAAGAAAAGAAAAGAAGTGTGTGTGTGTGTGTGTGAGAGAGAGAGAGAGAGAGAGAGAGTGTGTATTTCTCTCTCATTTAAATTTGTGGTAGTGGCCTAACTGGACAAGATCAGTGGCATGCACATTACTATAAAGTCATGCATATTTGTTATTAATAAATATTATGTCAAAATGGTATAAGGAAGTAAAGATAAATTCATATTAAAATTATTTTTTAGCTTAGCAGTAGTTTACCTGTGGTGACTCAGTTCTTCATATTAATTTCTGATTCTAAGGGAAGGAAATAATACTCCTACTAAAATGAAATAATCTCATTTTTCACATTTCAAAAATAGGAGGTGATATAAAAAATGGCTTAAAGTTTCTTCTACCAAACAATCTCCTCTGTTTTTGGTAGTGTCACATTTGCCTTATCTCATATTATTGAACACAAAGAAATTCACATCCTTCCTCAAAACTGTCTCCTTTGCTGTGTTTAAGACATTTTTACATGGTAACATAGTGAAAATCCGGATAGTGAAAAATTAGAGATTTGGTAGATATAGGCAATATGTAACTTAACATTGTTTCTACCCTTCCGTTTCTTCTTGCTCTCTACTTTGTTAAATCCAACTTATTACTTCTCTTCTCTGACTTTTTTTTTTTTTTTTTTTCTGAGATAGCCCTACATACAAGGAGGGGACTCTGAAAAACAAACGCAAAAAGCTTTCTCTTGCTTTGATAATTTAATGGTACATTGTTTCTTGTTTCTTTCATTAGCCACAACTAAATTGTTTTTAGTGAAAGATGATTTGTTCATTTTTAAATGCTAGTTGATTCATTCTGCTGTATATAAGGTCGCTATGAGTTGGACATGACTTGACCGCACTGAACAACAATGACAGCTGATTTTCGATTGATGGGGAGAATGTGACCATGGTTAATCTAAAACAAAACAAACAAACAAAAAAAATCAAACAAAATTCACTGCCATTGAGTCGATTCCAACTTATTGTGACCCCATTGGGTTTCCAAAGCTGTAAATCGTTACGGAAGCAGACTGCTCCATCTTTCTTCTGTGGAGTAGCTAGTGGGTTCGAACCACCAACCTTTTGTTTAGCAGCCAAGTGCCTTAACCACTATACCACCAGAGCTCCCTAATCTAAAACACAACGTAATATAAAATTATTGAAAGGAATTTGATCATCTTTATAACAGACTTAGCTTATAAATAAGTTTAACATGAGATAATAGTAAAGTAAGTTTTTTCATTTCCTGCACATAAAGTCTTCCAAATCCTTGTCTCAGAGTACCATGTTACCTTTCCCCACATATTTATCCTTACTCAGTTCTTTCGTATCTTGTTGTTGTTGTTGTTATGTGCCGTCGAGTCGGCCCCGACTCATAGCGACCCCTCCTTGGGTTTCCGAGGCAGTATCACTACGGAAGTAGGATTGCCCAACCTTCCTTCCGAGGAGTGGCAGGTGGGTTTGAACCGCCAGCCGTCTGGTTAGCAGGCAAGTGTCTTAGCCACTATGCTACCAGAGCTCCCGTATCTAGTACTTCACAAAACCCATGACCTATCGAAGCAAACTCTTTTCCATTTTAAACATCGTTCTGCTTGCTATCATGTGTTGAAATGATACATGGCTATCTTTAGGAACAACTAGAGCTCCAGCTCTCTTTTATTTTTCCCATTTCCTAGAAAGTAGCAATGTATGATTAGTGATAACTTCAGATGTCAGGGTAAATAATAAGCCTCGTGTTTGCTCCTCTAGATCAGAGGTTGGCAAACTATGACCTGTGGTCAATCTGCTTCACAGCTTGTTTTTGTGTGGCCAGCAAACTTAAGAGTGGTTTTTACATTTTTAAACAGTTAAACAAACAAAGTAATGACTGACAGAAACCCTATGCAGCCTGCAAAGTCTAAAGTACTTACTATCTGGTCCTTTATAGAAAAAGTTTTCTGGTCCCTGTGTTCTAGATCATCAAACCAATACCTTATCTGCTTCTCAATAAAAACTGCATACCAGCTTTTTCAAATTACCTCAGCTTTATCTATTACCATGGGGAATTGTCTTCTACTCAAGTAGATGACTTTGATGTCTGGCTTGTATTTTTCATCTAATGTCTCATCAGTCATCTTCCTCACATACACAAACATCTATGTTGATGACCCATTAGATTGATTTACAGTTCCTTGACTTCCTTACATTTTTCACCATTTATCTCTACTTTGCATTTTCCTTCTCTACATACAAAGCCACATCCTGGACTTTTGTCAGTATAAAACATTGCTTGACTCTAAGACTTTATCTCCTTTTCCCTCTCCCAACCTCTGTCCCCCACCAAAGCTTCTAATTAACAAGACCTAACCCATTTTATTCGCTTAATACATAGTGTCATAATGGGCTCTTTTGTATTCAAAACCTTATATAGTAGTTACTGTGACAATGACTCATCCTTGCATTTCTCATTTCTACTTCTCTTTGCAAGGTTTGGTACCTTGGCTTGTATAAACTAATTATAATCTACCAGATATCTGACATTTGACATTTGGCTGCTAACCAGCAAATTGGCACTTCAAACCCACCAGTTGCCCCATGGGAGAAAGATGAGGCAATCTCCTTCCATAAAGATTTATAGCCTTGGAAACTCAGCTGGGGTTGCTATGAGTCAGAATCTGACTCCATGGCTGTGGTTTAGTTTGTTTTTTTAGATATCTGACACTGAAGTATGAAGGATTATAGCTGTCTGTCAGTTTGTCCTACTGTGGTGGTTGTATATTGCTGGAAGCTATGCCACCAGTATGTCAAATACTAGCAGAGTCATTCATGGTGGGCAGGTTTCAGTGGAGCTTCCAGACTAAGACAGGAAGAAAGGCCTGGTGATCTACTTCTGAACTAGCCAATGAAAACTCTGTGGATCACTACAGAATGTTGTTCAGATACAGTCTAGAAGGTAAGTATGCTAGGATGGAAGGAACTCAAAATGCACAGTGGCCAAAATTGACTCAAGTAATGATTTTGAAGATGGCACAAGACTTCAGTTATATTTCATTCTTTTGCACATAGCATCAGACCTGATTCAATGGCAACTAACAACAGCAACAACAAGACATAGTCACTGATTTACATTTACTAAGAATTTCTAGGATTCTAATGTACTTCAACAGTGTTCCCCTAACGTGCCAAGAGGACTAGTTAGGTCAAACAAGGTCACCGTACAATAGCAATTCATTCATGAAAACACAGTTGTGCAGTGATACTTGCAGAGAACATATTACTCTAACCAAATGTGGCTAATTTCCAGCCTTTACTCTTCAGCTGCTACCCTGTCCTCAGCCCCCACGTACCAAGGTGCTACCATTCTGCATGTTGTGCAAGTCTCTATGGGCATGAGCACAGAAGTCCAGACACGCAGTGACCCCTGAAAATGGACGGCCTTCCTTCAGACCCAGACGGCACTCTGGTGCTCTGTCTTCATATTCAATCTGAAAAATAAAAGTGTGTATTTATGTATGTGGGAATGGGGAGGTATGTTATTTAGAACTTTAAAAAAAATGTTGTGTATTTTATATCCAGAAACAAATGGACTGACACAATAGAGAGCAAATATCTGGACACAATATTTGTCAAAACTTGCTAAAGGTTTCTTTTTACATTAATGAGGTATAATGAATACACATTAAGTGGCATATATTTAAAGTATACTATTTAATAAAATTTGATGTGTATACACCATGAAACCAATGACAAAATCAAAATAATGTATATATCCATCACTAGGAGGTTTCATCTTTCCTTTTTGTAATTCATCTCTTCCACCCTGTTTCTTCCATTTATGTAGATCTGTTATGTTTTCTTGAAGTAGTCTTTTGTAGTTTTCTTTGTACAGGTCTTTTGTGTTCCTGGTAAGATTTATTTCAAAGTGTTTTATTTATTTATTTATTGGTAGCTATTGTAAATGGTATTGGTTTCCTTATTTCTTTTTAAGCAATGTCTTTGCTGGTGTAGAGGAATCCAACTGATTTTTGGATGTTGATCTTGTATCCTGCCACTATGCTATATCTCTCAATTAGTTCCAGCAGTTTTATTTATTTATTTATTTATTTATTTATTTATTTATTATTGAGTCTCTTGGATTTTCTAGTTATGGGATCATATGATCAACAAATAGGGATAATTTTCCTTCTTCCTTACCAGTTTGGATGCCTTTGATTTCCCTTTCTTGCTTTATTGCCCTGGCTAGGACTTCCAATATAATGTTGAATAGAAGTGTTGATGGGAGGGCATCCTGGTCTAGTTCCTGTTCGCAAGGGGAGTGGTTTCAGTCTCTCTCCATTGAGAATAATGGTGGCTGTTGGTTTTGCATATATGCCCTTTATTATGTTGATGAATGTTCCTTCTATTCCTATGTGGCTGACACTTTTTATCAGGAATGGGTTGATTTTATCAAATATCTTTTCTGAATCGATTGACATGATCATGTGGTTCTTTTCTTTTATGTGATGGACGACATTGATTGTTTTTCTAATGTTGAACCATCTTGCATACTTGATATGAACTCCACGTGGTCATAATGTATTATTTTTATGTTATGTTGTTAAAGTCTATTGGCTAGAACTTTGTTGAAGATTTTTACATCTATATTCATGAGAGATATCGGTCTGTAGTTTCCCTTTTTAATGATGTCTTTGCCTGGTTTTGGTATCAAGGTTATGCTTGTTTCATAAAATGAATTTGGGAGGATTCCATCCTTTTCTATATTCTGGAATAATTTCAGTGGCATTGGTGTCAGTTCTTCTCTGAATGTTTGGTAGAAGTCTCCACTGAAACCATAGGGCCAGGATTTTTTTTAGTTGGTAATTTTTTTTATGACTTATTCAACATCTTCTTTTGTTTTGGATCTGTTCAACTTTTCCACATCAGTCTGTGTTAGTTTAGGTAAGTAGTGTGTTTCCAGAAATCTGTCCATTTCTTCTAGATTTTCAAATTTGTTGCAGTACAGTTCTTCATAGTATCCTGATATTATCTTTTAATTTCAGTTGGTTCTGTTGTGATGTCACTCAATTTGTTTCTTATTTGTGTTATTTGTATTCTTTCCTTCTTTTCCTTTGTTAAATTTGCCAGTAGTTTGTCAACTTTATTAATCTTTTCAAAAAACCAACTTCTAGCCTTGCTGTTTTTTCTATTGAATTTCTGTTTCATTGATTTCTGATTGAATATCTGTTAATTATTTCCTATTTGTTATTATTTTCTTTTTCTGTTGAATGTAGGCTTTTCTTGCTGTTCTTTTCCTAATTGTAGGAAATGTTGGGTTAAGGTGTGGATTTTGGCTCTTTCTTCTTTTTTGATGTGTACATTTATTGCTATAAATTGGCCGCTGATCACTGCTTTTGCTATGTCCCAAAGATTTGGGTATGTTGTGCTTTTATTCTCATTTGATTCAAGGAACTTTTTAATTTCATTTTTATTTCTTCTATTACCTAGTTGTTCTTAAGCAGGGTGTCATTCAGTTTCCATGTGTTTGCTCTTTTTCCATTGATCTTCTTATTTTTGATTTCTAATTTCATAGCATTGTGATCTGAGAAGATGCTCTGCAATATTTCAATGTTTTTAAATTTATTAAAGCTTGCTTTATGGCCTAACATATGGTCTATCCTGGAGAATGTGCCATGTGTACTGGAAAAGAATGCATATTGTGCTGATGTTGGGTGAAGAGCTCTGTAGATGTCTATAAGGTCAAGTTGGTGGATTGTATTGTTAGCTCTTCTGTGTCTTTGTTGAGTTTCTTTCCAGTTGTTCTATTTTTGATTACATGTGGTGTATTAAAATCTCCTGCTATGACTGTGGAGTCGTCTATTTGTCTTTTCAATTCTGTTAAAGTCTGATTTATGTATTTTGGGACTCTTTCATTGGATCTATAGACAGCTATTATGGTTATCTCTTCTTGTTCAATTGATCCTTAATCATTATATAATATCCTTCCTTGTCCCTTATGGTGGTTTTTGTCTTAAAGTCAGTTTGATCAGAAATTAATATTACCACTCCTGTTCTTTTTTGGTTGCTATTTGCTTGATATATCTTTTTCCAACCTTTGATTTTTAGTCTATCTTTGTCTTTGTCTTGTAGACAGCATATTGATGGGTTATGTTTTCTTATCCAGTCTGCAAATCTCTGTCTCTTGAATGGTGCATTTAATCCATTGACATTCAGTGTAATTATCGACAAGTACGAATTCGTAGCTGTCATTTTGTTATGTGTTTTTTCATGGTGTTCCTGGTTTCTTTGTTCCATATAATTTTCTGTGCTAAGCTCATTTTGTTTAGGAATCATGTTATCATTTCCTTCATTGCTATTGTTTTAGTATTTGCTAAATATATGTGATTGTCCTCTTTTTCTTTTTTTACTGTCATGTGAAGTTTTATCATTTTTCTTTGAGTTTACTCTGTGATTTACAATTTTCTCCCTGAGTTGAGAACAGTCCATTCTATCTTGCAATTCCCTTGACTTCCTCACCATTTGAAAGTTCTGTAACTATACTGTTTTTTCCCTCTTTTGTTTTTTAGTTGTCCTCCTTTGCTAATTGATGTCTCTGGTTCTCTGTTTATAATCCTGTAAGCTTATTTTACATTGGATACTTCCCTAACTGGATTGGTTTCTGGGATATGTCATCATATGTATTAATGGCCAGTTGTTGTTTGCTATTACTGGTTTTCTGTTCAAAGGACTCCCTTTAATATCTCTTGGAAGGCTGATCTGGTTTTGACAAATTCCCTTAATTCCTGCTTATCTGGAAATGTCCTAATTTCACCATCATATTTGAGGGACAATTTTGCTGGGTATATAATTCTTGGTTGGAAATTTTTCTCTTTCAGGGTTTTATATATACCATCACATTACCTTCTCACCTGCATGGTTTCTGCTGAGAAATCAGAACTTAGTCTTATTAGTTGCCCTTTGTAGGTAACTTTTCATTTTTCCTATGCTGCATTCAGGATTCTTTTTTGTCCTGATGAGTTCTGTTTTGATGAGTTTGATTATAACATGTCTTGGTGATTTTGTTTTGAGATCTATCCTGTTTGGGGTTTGTTAGACTACCTGAATGGATATAATCTCATGTTTCATCTTATCAGAGAAGTTCTGTTCCAAGAAATCTTGGACAATTTTTTCAGTGGTTTTATTTTTCTTTTCCTGTTCTGGATTCTGATTACATGTACGTTACTCCTTTTGATGGTATCCCATGTGAATCTTAGGTTTTCTTCATTTTGTTTTTATCTTTTTTCTGATTGTTCCTTTTCGAAAGAAATATTCAGGTATTTGTCTTCAATCTCATTAATTCTGTCTTCATTGAATAGATTCTACTCTTTTGCCCTTTCAGTGTGTTATCTATTCCTGAAAATTTAGTATTAATCTTCTGGATTTCTATCTGTAGGTTTTATATCATTTCTAATTTTTCATTTATTTTGTCATTTTGTTCTTGTAATTTCTTCTGAATTTCTTCTAACATTTTGTGTTTTCCTTAATTTTGTCAGTGTTTTCCTTGATTTGTCTCTCAGTCCTTTGAAGGTACCTAAATATAATTCTTTTGAATTCCTTCTCAGGGAGTTCCAATGCTGCTTCCTCCTCAGGGATGTATTCTGGGTCCGTATCCTGCTCCCTTGTTTCTACTGGCTTATCTTACTTTTTTGTGTGGACTGTGATGGTCTCTTGTGTTCAAGATATTATGACTTTGCTGTATGTATATTTAATTGATGATTATATGTTGGAATGTTTTGCCCAAGGTTTTTTTTTTTGGATGTATCTGAATAAGCAGGGTACTGTGCTACTCTATTTGCTACTTGGCAGCACTTATACACTTATCACTTGTCTTCTGGTGGATGTGATAAAGAATGAGAGTGGCTGCACAGATCTCTGTTAACTGGTTGTGAAGAGCAGTTAAGGGTGAGTTGGGATCTTTTTGGTGGTTGTGTATGATTGGCCAGTTGGTGCAGAAGGAAGTGGTTGCTCTCACTGAGTAAGTGGAGCTGCAGGAGACGCAGGTGTGGTTGGGTCATATGGGCATGGTTGCTGTCTCCCACTCAATTAGACAAAAATAACAATCGAAAAACCATCAAAAAAGTAAAGGCAAGAGGACAAAAACACACACTGCAAAAACACACATGAAGAATCACCAGAAAGAGAAAAAAAGAAAAAGAAGGAAGGCAGTAAATGAGAGAAAATATTTAAAGAAATACTTTAAAAAGCCAAAAGAAATATGAATAGAAAAAGAGGGGACCTGCAATATCTGGGGAGTGGAGAATAAGAGAAAAGTGGTAGAGTAGGAGAATAATGAAGAAGAAAAATAGGAAAAATGCAAAAGAAAACAAGGAATGGGGAGAACCAAAAAGGAAAAAGAAAAAGAAAAAAAAAA